ACTTCACAAAATTCAGATTAATGGCCACATATAAGAATGTAAATAGAAGATGTCTTTACTATGAAAGATGTTAACTGATAAGATTGCTCTCTTCAAATGGGGTGCAGGAAAAGTTTTAAACTGTGAGACAATTTAAAATATAACTAATAAAGGAATAATATTTGGCCAGCCTCCAATTGAGGGTGGGGGAGAATGAGTAAATTAAAAAAAAGAAAAAAAATCAATGAAGGAAGTTATGGTCAGGCAGCTTTTATATTGATTTTCTCTAACGTAACTCTTCATGGGCTTCTGAATACATAGCAAAGTAACTTCTATTTGCTCTCAATTTTAACCATTTCCAAACTACTAGAGGGAAAAGGAGAGCCAGGATCCACAACCATTTCTGCATCAAAAGGATAACAATAAATGCTAGTACCAATGTGAGGGGGTAAGTGAATGGTTGGACCTGAACACGCATAGATTATACATTTATAATAAGCATGAGGTATATGGAGGAACATTAGATCAACTGTTACACAAACATCAGCCCCTAAAAATCAGTTTAAACTGTTTGTTTAAAGGTCTGTTTTATCCACCTAATATCTATAGTCTTACATTTAGACTTTAATCCTGCAAACACGCACGTGCTTAACTTTACTGCCACATGTACTCCCATTGAGTTCAACAGAACTACTCATGGCAGTAAAGGAAAGCACACAAGTGTTTCCAGGATCAAGGCTAAACTTGGACTGTAAACTCTTCAGAGTAGTATATGTTGTACAGTGCCTAGAACAATGCGGCCCTCTTCTCTAGGCACTAAAGAAATTTTTTTTTAAATCATATGTAAAGGTTGATATCACGGTCACTCTCTTTTTTTACCCTGCCTTTCTCCTAAATTCCAAATGACCACTGCAGCAGCATTGGAGGATCGTGCTGGTACTTCTACTTTTGCAGTTAACACTTCCATAGCAAATCTGAGGAACTGTCACAGATTGAAGTGTCACTAGAGGAGGTTTTGGAATTAATTGATAAACTTAACATTAACAAGTCACCGGGACCAGATGGCATTCACCCAAGAGTTCTGAAAGAACTCAAATGTGAAGTTGCGGAACTATTAACTAAGGTTTGTAACCTGTCCTTTAAATCAGCTTCTGTACCCAATGACTGGAAGTTAGCTAATGTAACGCCAATATTTAAAAAGGGCTCTAGAGGTGATCCCGGCAATTACAGACCGGTAAGTCTAACGTCGGTACCGGGCAAATTAGTCGAAACAATAGTTAAGAATAAAATTGTCAGACACATAGAAAAACAAACTGTTGAGCAATAGTCAACATGGTTTCTGTAAAGGGAAATCATGTCTTACTAATCTATTAGAGTTCTTTGAAGGGGTCAACAAACATGTGGACAAGGGGGATCCAGTGGACATAGTGTGCTTAGATTTCCAGAAAGCCTTTGACAAGGTCCCTCACCAAAGGCTCTTACATAAATTAAGTTGTCATGGGATAAAAGGGAAGGTCCTTTCATGGATTGAGAACTGGTTAAAAGACCGGGATCAAAGGGTGGGAATTAATGGTAAATTCTCAGAATGGAGAGGGGTAACTAGTGGTATTCCCCAAGGGTCAGTCCTCGGACCAATCCTATTCAACTTATTTATAAATGATCTGGAGAAAGGGGTAAACAGTGAGGTGGCAAAGTTTGCAGATGATACTAAACTGCTCAAGATAGTTAAGACCAAAGCAGACTGTGATGAACTTCAAAAAGATCTCACAAAACTAAGTGATTGGGCAACAAAATGGCAAATGAAATTTAATATGGATAAATGTAAAGTAATGCACATCGGAAAAAATAACCCCAACTATACATACAAGATGATGGGGGCTAATTTAGCTACAACAAGTCAGGAAAAAGATCTTGGAGTCATCATGGATAGTTCTCTGAAGATGTCCGCGCAGTGTGCAGAGGCGGTCAAAAAAGCAAACAGGATGTTAGGAATCATTAAAAAGGGGATAGAGAATAAGACTGAGAATATATTATTGCCCTTATAGAAATCGATGGTATGGCCACATCTCGAATACTGCATACAGATATGGTCTCCTCATCTAAAAAAATATATACTGGCACTAGAAAAGGTTCAGAAAAGGGCAACTAAAATGATTAGGGGTTTGGAACGGGTCCCATATGAGGAGAGATTAAAGAGGCTAGGACTCTTCAGCTTGGAAAAGAGGAGACTAAGGGGGGATATGATAGAGGTATATAAAATCATGAGTGATGTGGAGAAAGTGGATAAGGAAAAGTTATTTACTTATTCCCATAATACAAGAACTAGGGGTCACCAAATGAAATTAATAGGCAGCAGGTTTAAAACAAATACAAGGAAGTTCTTCTTCACACAGCGCACAGTCAACTTGTGGAACTCCTTACCTGAGGAGGTTGTGAAGGCTAGGACTATAACAGCGTTTAAAAGAGAACTGGATAAATTCATTGTGGTTAAGTCCACTAATGGCTATTAGCCAGGATGGGTAAGGAATGGTGTCCTTAGCCTCTGTTTGTCAGAGGATGGAGATGGATGGTCCACTCCCTCTGGGGCACCTGGCATTGGCCACTGTCGGTAGACAGGATACTGGGCTAGATGGACCTTTGCTCTGACCCGGTACGGCCGTTCTCATGTTCTTATGTACTGAGAAACTAATTAGAACTATATTGCTGGAAACGCTATGGCAAAACCATCCACTTTTTTTTCCTCCAACAACCCCATATCCAAGAATCTTTTGTCCTGTTTCAGTACAAAAACCAGCACTATGTTCTAACACATTACACCTCTACCCTGATATAACGTGGTCCTCGGAAGACAAAAAATCTCACCGTGTTATAGGTGAGACCGCGTTATATCGAACTTGCTTTGGTCCTCCCTGTTCCTTGTTCCCTGACCGCCCCCTCCAGAGACCCTCGTCACTAATCACACCCAGGACCTCACCCCCTACCCAACCCCCCTGCTCCCTGTCCCCTGACTGCTCTGACCCCTATCCACACCCCTCACCCCCTGACAGGCACTCACTGGCAGCGGCGGGAAACGGAGCCCCAGCCCGCTCCACTCCTGGTGGGGCTCCGCCTTCAGAGCTGGGCACCCAGATACCAGCCTCCACTCTCCGGCCACCAGCCACCACTCTCCAGTCACCCAGCTCTGAAGGCAGCGCAGAAGTAAGGGCAGCCCCCCTAGAATAACCTTGTGATCCCCCTGCAACTCCCTTTTGGGTCAGAACCCCCAATTTGAGAAACACTGGTCTCCCCCATGAAATCTGTATAGTATAGGTTAAAAGCAAACAAAAGACCAGATTTCATGGTGGGCCAGATTTCACGATCCATGACGCGTTTTTCATGGCTGTGAATTTGATAGGGCCCTACCAATAGGGGAATTTAAAAAAAAAAACTGAGGCAGGGTAACAGCGGTGGGCATGAAATATACTACCCCCATGCAATTTTAACCCTCAGAGACAGTGAGCAAAAGCAGTCACCATCTGACTGTTTGTTGTCCTATGAGTAAAAAAAAAAGTTAGAAGTCTCAGTCCACTGTCTATTGATCTGAAAGTCTTCATCATGTTTTTTATGATCACAGTTACTACCAGCTGGCAACTTCTTAGAAAAGAAACGAGAGTAAACAGACATGGAAAAACTACCATCTCAACATTAGAGGTCCAGGTTGAGACCTCCAGGTCAAATTTAAAGTACATTGGGAGAGATGTAAGGAATACTCCACAGTGCCACTGTCTGTACTGTTCTCTGTATACAGTTTCTGGCACTGTAAAGGCAGCAACTTTCCCATGTATCAATTTAAACACAAATAATTTTTTTTAATGGAAGTCACATTTACATTATTTGAACACTTTTTTGCACTTTCTTTTCTGGTAACAGCATAAGAGAATTACCTTCCTGTCATCAGTTTATATATTTAAATAGATATACTAGGAAAGGTCAAAACTTCTAAATATATTTATAGAGCATAAAGAAATAAAAACCAAAGCAAGTTCTTCTAAGATTGCATTTTGAGCTTCCAAACAAAATTTTAACCATACACAGCAAGATGAAAGCTACATGCGCACACACACACACACATACAAGGAACATGTGTTACCACAAAGATCAAACATGAAGCAAAACTAATTGCTTCTAAATCTCCATTACATGTCAAAAGTAGTTAAATAAACTTTGCGCTAATCAGGCTTGGACTGAACTTTCTCTCCATAGTATTGCATAATATGGTATATCATGGGAGCTTTTGCACCTTCCTCTGAAACCTGGGGTACTGGTCATTGTCAAAGACAGGATACTGGACCACAAGGATTATAGATCTGTTCTCATAGAGCAGTTCCTATGGGACAGAGCTATTAAAACTCATTTTGATTAAATGATGCATTCAGTCCCTGTGGATAGCAGAATGACATTAAAGCAGCCAGGTTGGTGTACAGAGGAGAGAACCAGCTGCTTAGTATCCCCTTTAGGGCAGTGTGTGTTCCTAACACAATTATTGATTAAAACATGCTGCATGCTATGAAAATGTTTGAGAACCCCTGCATTAGGGAATCCTTGGTGCCTGCCAGTGTCCTAGCACAGTTAACTCTAACGTCCTTCCAGTGCAAGATCTGAGGGACGACCCAGGTTCTCCATTAGGTACCTTTGGGTGCACACCAGTACTAATGGGGCTGCTTAGAAAGCCCAATATATTCCATTTAAGGCCTCGAGGTATATGTCAATACCCTGAGAACAGCTCAGAGCCTCCCAACTCTGCATACTAAGGCCCCGTGGGGTGCATGTACCCACAGGAGCCCTCAGCACCCCCCATGTTCTCCTGGCGAGGTTCCCCGGGGTGCATGCCAGTGCCCAGGGAGCGCCCAACACCCCCACCTTCTCCCAGCAAGGCTTCCGGGGGTGCATGCCAGCGCCCAGGGGAGCCCATCGCACCCCCGGAGTGCACACCTGTGCCGGAAGCCCCCTTGTGAATCTCCACGGCCGGAGGGCCCGGTTACCTGCAGGTGACTTTGAGGGTGACCAGGAGGGCGCAGCCCAGCACGATAGCAGCTCCGCACAGCAGCTCGGGTCTCCGGGACATCTGGGCAGCACGGGGCCGGGGCCGAGGGGCAGCGGAGTGGCCGGAGCCTCCACATAACGACATCACCTCCCAGCCCGGGGCGGGGAGGGGCGGACGAGCGAGGCCGGGCCGCTGGCGCTCGCACACGTCTCCCTACCCCCGGCCTGTCAGGGGCTCCTGGGGCGGGACGGCTGGGGGCGGCTGCCGCGGACGAGCGAACCCAACGCCGCCACGTCTCCTCGCCCGCCCCGGCCCGGGCTCCGCCAGCCAAGGTCCCCAGAGCAGGCGCACACGGGCCCGGCCCCGCGCTCCGAGAAGCGCCTCGCTGAGGCCTGCCCGCAGCCAAGCGCAGTGCCTGGGAGGCTGCGCCTGAACCGCTGAGAGAGCGCGGGGGAGGGAGCCGCCCGGCCCCAACTGAGGCCTCCTCGGTCAATAGAAATGGATGGGAAAGGTGTTAGGAGCGCGCCGGGGGTTGGATGAGGGGTACGTCCAGGGCCGGCGCGTCCATTTAGGCGACTTAGGCGACCGCCTAGGGCGCCAGGATTTGGGGGGGGGGGGGCCAATTGGGGGGCGGGGGGGGGGTCCTTCCACGCTCCGGGTCTTCGACGGCGGGTCTTTCGCTCCGGGACCCGCCGCCGAAGTGCCCCAAGACCGGGAGCGCGGAAGGACCCCCGTCTAGGGCGACAAAAACCCTGGCGCCGCTCCTGGGTACGTCGCCGCAGAACCCAGGGGCCTATCCGGTGCCCACGGTCCCAGCGAGGCCCAGGCGAAGTGGGCGATACACTCGTTTAACAATGCCTCCTTCCCGTTTAACAATGGTCAAAACACAACCGACCCTCCAGGAGAGCTGCGAGGTGTGTGGACAGGGTTTGCGGCCGGATCCCGCAGCCCATAGGTGCTGGAACTAGGCCTGTGGGGAGTGCTGCACCGCTCCCAGACAAGAAGTAGTTTCCATCATATAAAGGGTTTACAGTTTGGTTCAATGGCTGTCAGCACACCCCACTATAAAAATTGTTCCAGCACCTGGCTGCGGCATGAAACTCCTACCAAACCCTTGTTTTCTTGCTTTGTTTCTAAACATAAGCCAAACAAACATATAACCTCTGTGGTTGTGGAGCTACCCTTCCCAACTGTGAACCCATTGGTACATGGGCCAAGTTGAGTGTCCGCTGAATCTTTAGCCAGCTCCGGTGCCTGATCCTTTTCCACAGCTGCTATTTTGTCCTCTGTGAGCAGCAACGTGGGAAAAGTGGAGACCGTTTTTTGTATTGGTCTCAGCATAGTAGATGTTTGCTAAATTTTCAAGCCCTCTTTTTGTTTCATTCTTGTAATATTACAGGTTGAATAAATCCAGAACAAGTGAAAAAGCTGAACCGCACCCTTCTATGAAGCGTTTACCCATTTGAGTACTGTCCACAAAAAATGAACTCATGCTATGTGTAAGGAAGGTTGGAGACCCAACAGTAAAGGGGTTTTGTTTATACAACCTCATTTCATGTGATTTTTCTTATCCAAAGTAACTTACAATAAAAGACATAACACCTTATTGATGTCCTATTGGGTTTCACAGCTAAAGGACCCTTCCCAGCATATGGGGAGGATTCACTGAGCCCAGGACTCAAATAATTATGGGGGACAACAGAAAAAATGATGACAGGAGTGACGTTCAGAGGGTCAAACATAGGGAACTTGAAGGGGACACCAAGCAGAGAATGCTGGGCAGCGCCCACTGCTCCTCCAAGGTGTCAAAGGAGTTGGCAGATGCCACCCACAGGAACTCTACCCGGATGGGTGAACTGAGGGAGGATCAGAAATAGGCCTCACAGTCGCAGAGAATCCCCTCAGCCAACATCCTCTCCCTGGTATTGTAGATGGCCACTTTGGCCATCACTAGGAGGAGGTTGACAAGGAGGTCCCGTGGCTTTGTGGGGCCAAGTGGGGGGGAGAAGTGTAGGCAAAAATGCAACAGTAGGTCTAGACGGAGTTGGAAAAGGGGCTGCAACCTGGCACACTCAAGGTAAATGTGTGCCAGGGTCTCCCTCACACCGCAAAAGGGACAGGCATAGAGAATGGGGTGAACCGTGCCACGTACACGCCCATGCTCATGGCTCCATGATGGAGCAGCCAACTAACATGCCCAGTGGACTGTGGGACCAAGGTGGAATATAAGCTGGCCTACCAGGGTTCCTCACCCTCAATATGTGGCAATAGGTCCTGCCACTTAGTTTCGGGGCAGGACACCAGGGTGAGGAAATGGAGAGTATGGAGCACGAGCGTGTACAGATGTGCCCTTGGCATGGTTCAAAGGCAAACCGGCTGCAGGTTGCACTGCTGGGTCAAGCTATGTGGGTAGGAAGGCCGAGGGGGCTCATGGGGCAAGGGCCCTATGCAGAGACCCGGAGGGCTTGGGGTGGGTGGGGAGCACCCTCCCAGAGGACGTGCTTGAGGTAAACCCGAGAAACGGGCGACAAGGCTACCCTCACCTCCTGAAGTATGCGCCAGGGAGTACAAAGGGTGGAGAGCCCCATGCGCTGAGCAAGCACCAGGAGAACAGCTTGTTGATGTGGGTGGTAGGTATGTTAACTGAAAGGAGAAAAGAGGCAGAAATGTTTGCCAAATAGAAAGAACAGGACCAGTAGGGAAGTTCTATTTCAATCTTAGAAGTTGATTAAAACAAACTAAGACAAGTGTAATGAAGGTTAGTGTTTTAACAACTGGTAGTTCAGGGACAAGCCAAATATTCTATGTTACCTGTGTACCCTATTGTAATTTCTGTATGGACACAGAGTAAAGTTCAATTATCATGCATGGGCTTATGCTCTATTTTTAAAGGTATCATCTGAATCCACTGTGCTTTTATTTCATGGACCACAAGGGACAGATCAATATCCAGCCTTGTTTTTAGTGTGCAAGTACTTGAACATGCTGATTTTGCACAATGTAAAATGTATGGAACTAAACTATGGCCTGAATCCCAGTAACCACATTCAAAACATTAAAATAATTCTTAAAAGCTTTCCCAGTGGAACCAGATGATCCAATAAAGGAGCAAATTAAAAAGGAAGTGGATTTTTTGGGGGGAGCTGGATTAAGAAAAGCACAAATGAATGTCAGGAATGAAGCGGGCAGAGATATCTGCAGTAAAGACAAAATGCAGTAAGAAAAGAAAGATTTAATAGTTGTGACCCAGAGGGTAACCTTGTTCAGAAGTGACATTTCAGAGCAAAGTACAACTCTTTTGGTCTTTCACTGCTGGATGGGGCCTATCTCTGAAGTGGGCTGTGAAGTACGATTCACTTGGGGGGGGTGGGGGGGGGGGGGAAAGGGAAAAAAAAAAAGAGAGGGAAGAGAGAGAGTTCCCAAAACAAGAGGCTGGGAACCATATGCTTCTAATACAAAACTTGATAGCACTTTGTCCCATTCCTCTGGGGTGGACACTTAAAAATAATCTGCTAAAGCAAGCTTTACTGCTTTATTTTTAAAATGTACTTTCTGACCTAATCAGTGTTGCTCAATGTGCGGCATAAGTGACCACTCAGTCTACCAGTGTAGAAGACCTATTCCTAACATTTGCCCTTTTTGGGTTGTCAGCAGCCGTTCCAAAGCAAACTATTCTAAGAAATCAGCTACAACTTGAAGATAAACTAAACATATTTGTTTAGATTTAGTTGCTCAAAAGATTTTTCTAATGGGCAAGTAACTGTTTCGTGCAAAATAGAAGTCAATCAGACGCTACGTGCAGAAAGTAGCTTTATGTAAAGTTATCTTTATTACAGGTAACATTGGTTCATACAATACACAATACTGACATACAAGTGTAATCTTTCAAAATCATCATTTAAACAGCAAAGACCAAGAAACAGAATTTTAACTACTTGATTTTCAAAAAAATCAATACATTTTTCTCCCAAGATCCTTTTCAGTAAATTATATTGAAATATACAAATAGAGAAAAAATACCCCATTCAACATATATTGTAGTTAAATGGTTATTTTGCTTAAAATCCTTTTTAATAAGAAAATCCTCTTTAACAACCTACATAGAGATAAATAGCAAAGTTTTGTTTTAAACAAATCCTCTCATTAAAACATTTAAAGAATTTTCATCCATAATTTTCTTCTTAGCCCAAAACACTCCGTGTGTTTTGTAATTTTACCATAAAGTTTTCATCTGAAGGACCAACACTAGGGGCGCTTCCTACACATTATAGCCTCTCCCTCCTCCTCCGCCTCTTTCATAACATTCTGTCCAACAGAAGGTGGCGAATAAGCATGTAATACTTTATATCTTTTTTATTACTTCACCATTCTGTTTCATGAGAGCACAGACAGGTCTTCTGAATCCCCCTACATCTACTATATTTTGCTGTTCAGGAGGAACAATATATGCCAATATAAGCAGAAAACCTGCTGCTTTTCTGTCACATGCTTTTGATTACTGTCAAATTTTCTGGTTTATGCTTCCATAAGGTAACATGAATGCATCATTTTAGTATTAGTTTAAATCTTTAAACAAAAAACTATATTTTCCAAAGTCATTATCATTTGGAGCAATCAAGTGGTCTTTTCTTGCTTTGCTGAGTTTCATTCTTAGAACATCTCTTCGTTCTTCCCATTCATGGAGCTCAGCATTTCCATGTGCAAATTTACAGTTGTTTCCTTCAATGCAAGTACCAGCCATATATCTGTTAAAAAAATTAATTGGTGTGTTATAGTTTTCACAAAAGTATCACAAATTAACTATCTGGTTTTAAAAGGTCTTAAATATTTTCTACTAGCCATGTTTTTGGTATAATTAGATCTTTATTAAAGAAGCACAAATTCTCTAGGAGAGAGATTATTTTTTCTCTAAAATGAAGATGCATCAGTTCAGTTTACCCTCTTTAATAGTCTTTGAGAACCAGGTAAGGAAAAAGTCTTTTGGGGACAGGAGCCAAAGCTCTGGCCTTCCACTCCTCATTTCTCCACTTTGCCCAAACCCACCCTCCTCCAAAAAAATCATTTTACGATATTAACCTATCAATTAAATTCAGTTTGTTCCAAAAATCATCAGAATCCCTGGCTGTGACAATCATTAGTTTTTCTCTTTATCAATAAAATGAAGATTTTAATATTGCCACAGAAAATGCGTGCAGTCTGGAGCTCCAACCTTAGATCCCAGACTCCAAAGCCAACC